GAAAACTGTAAACTTTTAAAAATACACAGCCAGGCCAGCTTAGCAACGTTATAATAATTGCCTATAAATCTGTTAGTTTATTGTTTCTGAAAAACTGCAATTGCCAACCCGCTCGCTAAGCGTGGCAACTATGGCATGTTAGTCTGAGCTTTATAAGAGGCAGTTATTTTAATATTACAAACAGACACTTACACTTACAATTTTATTTATATGTATGGATAACAACATTTTGGTATTCGGTAGAATACATACACGTATTTACGAACGATATTTTTGCTCGCTGTGGACACGTCCCCTAGAAAATAACAATGGTTATCGCACGTCAGAACAGAGTACATACTGATGTCGATTGATACAACGGTGTGTATTAATATTCAAAATTTTAAATATGAGCTTCTCTATCGATCGTGCCTGTATCCTGGCGCATTATAACAAGCGGCTGCCGCATTCAGCCTTGCCTCGCGCCATTAATTAGGCGATGTGTTACCATATTGAACGCTACACAGATCCTTAACAAATTGAAGGGCTATGTTGAATAATAATTGAATGAATCATTCATAATCTAAATTCAAAATATTTGTTTCCATCCATACAATATTTAAGTAATTTAACTTAGAGACTTAAAAACTAAGTCAAGGAGGCAACTTAAAAATTTTCAAATACGTGTGCCGTAGTAATAATAAAATAATTTTAAAGGTCTTAAGGCTGATTTTTCAATCATCAGATAAAACTTATTCGTAATAAATATACAACATAATATAAATTAGAAATTACATATATGTATTACGGTGTTTACACTTACCTACATCTTGTATATTTTATTAGCTGATACCCGCCCTCTTCGCTGGGCGCACGATACCTAATATACGATAATAAAGTGGATATAAAATACTTAAAAAAATAGGACTACCATAATATCCGTTCTTAGTGATCTACATTGCAAAATGAGTAACCATACTAGGGCCTAACATAGTATTAATGGTCATACATTATATATACTACAATAATGTATATATAATGGATGATTTTTATCTGATGATAGTATTAGTAAAATCACCCCGAAAAGTATTTTTATTCTAAGTTCGATTGCAAGCTGTAATGAAAAGGAAACACATTATAATGATTACAAATTATAACGAAGAGGAAACAAGCATAATAAGACGTTAGACGTTCATTTTTAACAGTGGTCGGTTTTAGTTAAATATAATGGAAACATTCATGGCAAAACTTCCGTTTTAACTTAACCAACGTAACAGTGATGAGACAATGAATGAAGGTGTCTGGTGTCTGAAGTGGAGGAAACCCGCGATAGAAATAAAATAAACAGTTTACTCGTTCTATCGTCTGGCATTGTTTAAGTCTGAAGTTATTAATAGAAAACAATGGATAGTCTCAGCGCATATTATGTTTATGCATTTTTCATACCACCAAAAAAGTTAATAATGCCTCACGGGTTTATTGAAAATAGACACGTCTAGAAATAAAAAGTTTAAATTAAATGCGATATAATCCGTAATATATATTTTTGAGTATTATTATTTGCAATCATTTATTGGACCGGATTGAAAATTAGAACAAAACAATATCTGCTAGTGCAGTAGTTCGGATCTGGTTGTATTGAAATTATTTTTGCAAACGGGAAAACGGAGCAGTGTATATATTACAAAATCTGACTCACCACAACTTTGATCTCAATCAACTTAATTTGCATTTCTCATCTTCGTCTTGCATTAACGATAAAGCAAAACATAATACTTCGGATTCTCTTTCAAAAGCTCCCGCTCCGGACACCCCTGCTTTTAATTTTAGCCAATTTAACAGTGAGAGCCATAATGTCCATGCATTCGACCAAGTTCGATTGGTAGTGACTGTATTAGTCGGAAAATGGCCATCCCTCTCATTGATCTCCTTTTACCTATAATCACTTCCATCCTGAATAATTCACTGAAGTCTGCTTTTCCCTTCAGCTTAGAAAGATGCATTTGTAGTTCCTCTTTTGAAAAAGACGTATCCCTCTAGTTTTTCTGATTATAGACCTATTTCTATTTTGCCTTTCCTTTCCAAAGTTCTAGAACGTCTTGTGCATAATCAAGCACATGTCTTTTAAAACATAATCTTTTAAATCCTTTCCAATCCGGTTTCCGTCCTAGCTATAGTACGACTACTGCACTTTTACAAATCACTGATGATATTCGGTATGGTATGAAGAAACAAAAGCTTACCATTCTGACGTTGCTTGATCTTAGTAACGCATTTAATACTGTGGATTTTGATATCTTGTTAGGCATCCTGCGCTCTTTCAACATATCTCCAACTGTAGTTGACTGGTTTCGAAGTTACTTGATTGGTCGCCGACAGCACATTCAGGTGCAAGAGATTTTTTCCACCTGGACTACTACAGATGCTGGTGTACCACAAGGTGGCATGTTGTCTCCTCTCCTGTTTGCAAGGTTCATTAACTCTATAAGTCATAATTTGTCCTCTTCCTACCACTTATATGCTATGATCTCCAAATCTATACTCAGCCCGCTAATGTGACTTTTATTTCGAACTGGAGTAAATATTATGGTTTAACGATTAATCCTGAGAAAACTCAAGTCATTGTCATCGGTAGTTCTGGATAATTGGAAAAATTTACTGGTCTTCCCTACCTCCTATTATACTAGACTGCACTCTAATCCCTTACAGTAACAAGGTTAAAAACATGGGGTTGTATCTCGACTCCTGTATGTATTGGACCTCACAAGTTAATGAGGTTATTTGAAAAATGTTTGCTGTGTTAAGCTCTTTACGTAGATTATGTAATTTTCTTCCCACAGCAACTAAAGCTACGCTCGTCTAGTCTCTACTTCTGCATATCCTTGACTATGCTGATATTTGTTATCTTGACATTACCGAGGAGCAGCTTAATAAGCTTGAGCGCATTCAAAATTTATGTATTAGATTCATATTATTTGGGCTTCGCAAATATGATCATATCTCCGAATCTCGCAAACAGCTCAAATGACTCCCGATCCGCCTTCGTAGGAATACTCACATTCTCTCCGCATTGTATAGTGTGCTGTTTAATCCTTCCACTCCTCATTATTTAAAATACCGTTTCCAGTATCTTTCCCTTACCTATCTATAATCTATCTATAATCGGTTCCTTCGATCCTCTGTCAATCTTTCTCTCTCTACTCCATTGTACTCATCCTCCTTTTTTAAGAAATCCTTTACCGTAACTGCTGTGCGTTTGTGGAACCCTTTACCTGTCCATATTCGTCGTGCTAAATCTCTTCACTCTTTCAAAAGTCTTGTTAAATCGCATTACTTATAACACCATTAGATAATTTACTTTTCCTTTCTCGTACTCTTTTCATTTAATCTATTATATGATATTTTATGTTGATGAATTTTGTAGTGCTTTTAGTATCTCTGAGTAAAAGAGTTGAATTTCACTTTCTTTAGCTTTATATGTAGGCGCATAAACTTGGATTAAAGTTAAAAATTTTTGACCAAACTTCATATCTAGACGTGCGACTCTATCAGATATACTTGTATAATTAAATATGTTTTCTCTCCATTTTCTTTTAATAACAAATCCGACTCCATTTATACCACTCTTTACTCCTGTGTGAATAAGTATATATTGTTCATATTCTAAAATTTTAGTCCCTTCTTTTTTTACTTCTGCTAAGCCTACAATGTCCCAATTTATATATCTAAGGGCGTGGTCTAGTTCTTCTTGGCGACCGTCTCCGACTAGAGACCTTACATTAAATGTGGCGATATGTATTTTAATATTGTTTTCGCTTCCTATTCCGACTTTATGGATGGAGGGTTTTGGTCTACTGCTCCCACGGTGACCATCCGTATTGGGAGAGTGATTCTGAGTAGTGCATTGATTCATTGTTTTACTATGTTGAATGGAGGGGGCCTGTATTTTTCATATATCTGTTGAGTGTTCATTCCGAGATTCTTTATTGTTATTTTTATAATAATATGATGTCATTTGGTTAAGGCTCGATCTATGTTTCTTATTAATTCTTATATTTTCACTGTTTCTGGAATCTTTTTCTGGGTTTAGAGGAGCGATATGTAGATTGGTTGTTTGGTGTGGCGACGGTGGTGATAAAAAGAGTGGTCTTTTATTTGGGTGTACATCTTTTCTTTCCTTTATTATGAGTTTGTCATATTTTATGTAAGCCACGTTCAAGGGAACGTTTCAATTTCTTGTTGTAGTTGTGCTTTTAGAGTTTTTCTAATTAAGTATATAATGATATTTTATACATAATTTTCACTTAGCTTTATTTGTTTGTATTTTCATATTTTTATTTTATACGCCCCCCTCTATTTTAACTACGGTTTGCATCAGTTCTCTACGCAAAGGTTGTCTGGAAGCAATCACTTTCAGAGTGATAAGACCGCCTGTTGTACATATTCTACTTTAGATTTAACTGTACTCGATGTTTTGTATTTTGGTGTACAATAAAGAGTAAATAAATAATTAAACAAATATATTATGCATCGTATATCAAAAATTTCATGCATTTTGGACATCATACATTTGGATATTTCATAGTGTTGTTACTGTTGTTTATCGTGAATTTGCAGTTTCTTCACTATTAAACTACAATACCACATTTTAATTGTTTGTTCGTTATCGTTTTTTGAATATTTTTGTCTTTGTAGCATCAAAATGATTTTATATCCTTTCATAATTATTTCATTTTATTAGGACTGTCTTCGGATAGCCCCGATTTGTGTTAAGTGTATTATGGCCTCATGCTATGAATTTCCCTTTTCTGACATTTTACATAACTTATAGGCCATTGAAATACTTGTTTCCGCTGGAAATCGAACCCATGACCAGCAATATTGCAGTGAAACCCTAAGCGATGTTGCAACGTTACCAAACGGTAAATTATTCTAATTTGCAACTATTATTTTTGCCCAACGTTTTATTATTTACTAACTATTCCTAGTGATTGTTATTTATATTATTGTTATTGTTACAGTGGATTAAACTTCCAAGACTTAATTGTACGTCAAGGTGCTATCGATTCTCCGCCCAAGACACCGTTCATCCTTGGCTTCGAATGCGCCGGTGAGATCGAACAAGTTGGCGAGGGCGTCACCAATTTCAAGGTAAAGTTCATTGAAAAAAATATATTAACAAGTTTTATTGTATTTGCACAAATCTACTGATGCTTTTTGACTTATAGAGACCGATGATCCAAAAATATTCATAAAATTTTACAAACCATACATAGGGATCCTAAGATTTACTTGATTATTATTAGATTGAAGGTTAACGCAAACAAAACGTTGTAAAAGTTAGCTTAAATAGTTTTGATGTAAAAGTAATGTTAAAACTTCATCTACGTTTGTAAATTTCGGTTTCGCTTTGTAAAATTTAAAATAGTTGGATATATGCTAATAGTAAAAAAGAAAAAATAATAATTGGAAAAAAATAATAATGGATTTACCGTGAAAAGCGTTACCCATCATAAATATCAATTTATTTCGTCTTATTATTATATCAAGTCTTGTAGAAAACTCAGATCAGTTACAAAGTTAGGTACTTTAAGATGTTCTAATGGCCTAAAGTGTTATTTCGCGTGTTTATAAATCTAAATGTAAGAAACCTGCAACGTAGAGGCCTATCATAATATATGATTGGTTTTAGAAAACCTTCAATCATACATTATTTGTTTGCTTGCAGTGGAAAGGAAATGCTTATGTTAATGATAGCGAGTTTTATATTTGATAATAATGGGAGGATGTGACGTATTAATTGGCGTATTATGAACGTACTTATTTTTTTGTTATGACCTGTAAAGAAACCGAAACAGGCTACAACTTATATTAATTAACGCATGTTATATCGTTAATATCATGAAGTCATATTGAAAAGTAACCAAATGTGTGTGTAAACGTTCAACTAAGAAACAGAAGGGGAAATCGAGGCTTCTCTCGATCCGGCCTCCTATAACGCCTACGTTGGGTTCGGGAACAACGTATGTGATCTCCGCAACGGAGTAACACACAAGGGCGATAACCTCTTCCTTTTCAGAAAATAGGTTCAGGCGGGGATTACGGGTCTTCCGAAGTCGTCCCGGTCCCAGCGCCTTAATTCTTCGATGTGGACTGTATAATTTTGAGGGATGAATTTCTTGGGAATAAAACAGCAATTATCTTCAAACCGTTCCGTGAGAGAGTAATTACTTTTCCCTATCACTTCCCTACACTTTTTCTTTCTTCTTCTTATTGACTGCTGGTCTTGCACTTATCCCGAAGTTTCTCCGAACTTTCCCGAAACTTCCCGAAGGATTCCCGAACTTCCCGAAGGATTCCCGAACTATCCCGAAGGATTCCCGAACGAATTGCAATAAAACTCATTTACTGAGCTACCCCAGAGCAATACGCGAAAGTGAGCCGCGCCATTCGCGCGCTTGCGCAACTCAATTACATGAATTTGTTCTATTACTCTCTCACGTTTTACTTAATTACTTTATTTGCATAAGTCATACATCAACATAATTTACCTGTATAGATAGCACAAAACAATATCTACACTACGATTTACATTACATTTTCATATCACAAAAAACCTTTTATTTATCTAACAAAATATGCCTATTTTACTCACAAGTTCAAAGTCGAAATTTCTTAAATATTTAACATAGAAAGTTAAAACAATGTTTTCCACTTGAAATTATACATAAGTTAACCAATACAACAGTTTAATTTACATTTTCTCTATTCATTTCACTATTAAAACACTTTTTAATTTCTTATACAAAACTATCAATATTTCACTTATACACAGGAATTTTCACATAAAAATAACACAGAATTCACCTTTTTAGCACGTACAATCAACCTGAAATGTTTTACAAGTCATTTTTACATAAATTGCTGAAATTACAAATATTTAAATTTTTACATATTTGGCCTCCTAAGGGCGTGGCTAGCGTGCGTCTATGAACTCACACTATTTGAACAACTAACTTTGCACGGCTATCGACTATCAGAAAAAATGAAAAGTCTAATATACACCAATATCGACAGTATTAGGTGAATAAATGCTTCTACACAATTTTCAAACTGTAGGAAACTATTTCTAATCAGATTCTTATCAGTTATCATGTTTCTTATCAGATAACAATATAAGTGAATGTTCTCATAAATCAATCATAGCAAATAGGCATTTATTTTCATACAAAACATATCAAACTCATATAAGGCAATACTTATGCAATTAATTTCCGTAAATTCTATTTATGCACAGAGTGATCATCTCGACCGGGGAACAAATCCGATCTCTAACTTCACTTTAATATTCCTTTGAATTTACATCATTGGAAAGATGATTTCAACCGGGGAACAAATCCGGTAGCATAATTTATATCTTAAAATTCCCTATATGGATTTATTAAGAGATATTACTTAAGAAAACAATAAACTAGTCCGGCCTGGGAGTCGAACCCAAGACCTTCATATCATTAATTCGACATTCTTTAAGATTTAACTAAGCATTTTCTTATTAGAACATTGCTATTGGACAATTTGCCTTTTAGAAGCTATTCGTCATCGGTTGACTTAATAAACTGAAATATTCTTATAGGCGCGTCGCCAACACATATTATGAAAATTCATAACCGGCCTGTGACCGCTTCGGCTTCAAAATATTATACCTATACTTATTTGCAGTGAACATAGCTTGGTCTGCATGGATTCTTAGATTTATATCAACCAAGATGTTTTACGATATATTGGTTCTATAGTTATTTTATATTGTGTGTTATTATAGCCATATTATAGTTAATAGCTTTAGTACTAAATTCGTTTGTATAAACTGATACACAATATTTTTATCGTTAAATGCGTCTCAAAACTAAATATTTAGGTAAAGAAATGTAAAATCACAAGCATCATTCCATAAGGAAAAACATAAACGCTATATTATACAATATTATATAATTTCTACTCCCGTTCATGAATTTAGTTCTCACAAGTTCACCGTAAATAGAGCTAGATGTGTCGTCTCTACAAGTTTTCTCATCCAGTTTTGCTAGTTTTGGTACGAAATAGTATTTATTATTTGTTGTTTCTAAATTTAAGCCAACGCGTGCGAAGTCGCGGATAAAAGCTAGTTTGTAATAAGATTGTGATACGACCATACCTGGTATTTTTTAATCTTTTAGTTCTTGTACTTTCATTCATAAATGATTCACTTCATTATTTATTATTCTTAAATCTTTAACGACAATATATTTTAAGATTAAAACAAAATCAACTTACTAACAAACGTGGCGTACGTTTAAAAAAGAAGGGGAAATATTCATAGTGTTCGTCTAACTGACGAGGTTTATACAATACAGTTCTCACCTAAATCCTTATTCTCTGATTTATGGACACGTACAAATTTTTTTAAGTCTTTTTGGTTTTGTTTCTATTCTGTTGAACACAACATAATAAATCAAATTCTGTGCGGATCATTTATTCATTTCAGCCTATGAAAGTCACCTGCTGAACATAAGCCTCCGCCATAGATAAGCTCTTACCTCTTAGGGGATATATTTGCCATTGTTGCCACGCTTGGTAGGTGAGTTATTGTTAGGTGAGTTGGCAACCCTATTTTTTATTTTCTATTTGTTATTACCGTGAGTGAGAAAACAGTGTTGAAAACATTTTTTTGTGAAAATCGCGTCATTGGAAACGCGATTTTCGCAAAAAAAAAACATGTTTTAAACACTATTTGCTGTCAATGTATCAAAAAGCGTTTGCATAGTCAAAGAACGTGTTGTAATGAAATATGTTTGACAGTTTATTGTACATTACTTATTTTAACTATATTATATCTTTATAACTACAGGAACAAAATGTTTGAAAACAAATTTATAGAAATATTGTCTTGATGAAAGATAAGTTTGACTATCTGTTGAAAATTTTACAGTTATGATGAGTGCGAATGCCACCATCAACAAAACATGTTTGATTTATTTTATGCGATTTGTTTCCAAACATTACGTGTTGGTTTTTTCTCAGTGCAAACGTACTGTTAGTAAGACGCTGATGACCATCTTCTGGTTTGTTCCTTCTCTCGCTTTTTACGACACCCACGCTACGATAACTATAGTGAATATTCTTAAGCTAGTCACACACTACGCAGATACGATATCTGTATCTGAGCGCATATCTTCCAATATCGCTCTCTATGAAATTCAATGACACATAGCGCAGATAATTTATATTTTATCGTTGAGTATCTGTAAACACCGACCTATTTTGAAAGATGATGACAATATTATCTGCTCATACAAACATATGTGCAGGTGACACCTGCAGATAAAAATATAGTAAGTATAGGATTTTACCTGTATTTATACAGGTAGGTCGCTGAAAAAATGCGATTAAATCCACCTCGGTACTTTTAAGCTTTATTATGTCGGTGTATTCAAATTCTTCGCCTATTAGTAAATGCTTATGAAACACGTGCATCAAAATCAAAATCTGAATCCTATTCTTACGAGCTGGCTACCAAATCTAGAATATACATTAACTCGGTGTCGGTAACACCGTATAAACAATCTGCCCCAAAACCACGTCTAGTAAATTTGAAGGATTTCGAATGAATGTATAATTTCGTATATTGTCGTATTTGCGTAGTGTGTGACACTTTCAGATTAATTAAGTTTTATATGCAGATACAATAATATTATCGTATCTGTGTAGTCTGTGACTAGCTTTACACTTGCGGTATTTGCATACAGATATTTTCGATTTTTATAACTAATAATTTATCAACAGATTGGCGATCAAGTTGTGGCACTGCCGGAGTACAGGGCTTGGGCTGAGCTGGTTTCCGTCCCAGCTCAGTACGTTTACGCGTTGCCAGAGGGTATGACAGCCCTGGATGCCGTGGCGGTCACCACTAACTACGTGGTTGCGTATCTGCTGCTGTTTGAGATGGCTAACCTGACTCCTGGCAAGAGTCTTCTTGTGCATTCTGCTGGTGGCGGTGTGGTTAGTAGCATTCCGTATTAATGAAGTAATTATAGTAGTTAAAAACTTAACGAGTTCGGTGGAACAAGTTATTAAACTAAAAACTATAAAACCTGATGACCTTTGCAATGTCTGACTCTTACATCGGTCCCTGCTGTAATAAATTTTATGACATAATTATACTGGATAAGTAATTAAAAATCACTTTAATTACTTATCCAGTATAATGTTATGCTTATTCAATCTTAACTGCATACATTGCACAGTTAACTTATGACAGACTGTTTTATATAAGTTATATTGCTAGAGCATGGAATTATTCTGCCCACTAGAAGTATTATATATTATATATACGTAACAAATATTTATTACTACTTTTCAGAAATACTTTTACGTTACAAAATTGTTTCCTATTTGAAATGAAAACTTTTATACGATCGTTGTGACTTGAAAACTCGATGAAACAAAAAAGGACACCAAAAATGGACAAACATTTATAAATATGATTTAGCATGTAAGAGAGTGAGATAGAATACAGTATATACAGTGTTTCCTTTTATCTCGGTCTCCTTTTCTGAAGCTTTCAGTTCGACTGCATGTGAACTGCGCACACCATGTTTTTTATATTTTGAATAGTACTCGTGTATAGCTTTAGTACCTAGGTAAAGGAGTAGGGTCGTTGCGCTGGTTTTCGGCCTTTTAGTGGAGTTGTCAACTTTAAGGTACTATAAAAAATAATAGCGATTATGTCGACCTAGTGTTGTTAATGTTAATTTATAGCTTATATAAATGTAGTTTTCATTTTGATAACTCATTGATGCTACAAAAGAAATCTATTTTTTATAATAAATTTTGATGTGAAAAATATGCAAAACGCTAGTTTTCGGCCCCAAATTTTAGATTTCGGCCTACAAGAATTTTAGTTTTCGGCCACTGTATTAGAAGAGGTACTATAAACTTAAAAGTGTTTTTGTAAAATCAGAAAATGGCAAAACGGTTTGGGAAATCGGTGTATTTAGTTTTCTCAATCGGTGATTGCGATTTTTTAACCGTGACGTTATTTTTTTTCTTTTTGGGTGTGTTTTTGATATAAAATAATAACCATGATTAATTATTTCTCTTTGATTCATAATCTAATAATAAAATCTTTTAAATTTAGCAATCAAATATTCTGATTTGCGAGTATTTTGTACTTCCTCATAAGTATTTTAGTTTAACAAAATCTGTTACCATATCTAACCATTCTCATCTCTAACCAAGAGGAGCCATCTGAAGAAAAAAAATTCTTATTGAATCTTCTTCCTAAAACGCAATGTGAATAAAATATTTGATATGATAAGATGAAATGGCCGTAAACGTAAACTAAGACAGCATTCCATTTTCCGCCGCCGTATTCTTTCATACAATTTTAAGTTGGCCGAAAACTAGTTTGTATATATTTTAGAGTCAATCCAGTTTTCGGCCACGACTGAAATGGGTATTTTGTTTCATCACTAACTGTTCAAATTGCAGTACTTGGTGGCCGAAAACTGAAAGTTAGTGTCTACGCACGCTACGATTCAATATAAGTAAGAAAGATGAGTTATAGTACGTAACCAAATAAACGAAAGAGACAAAGTATTTAGGCTAAACTCAGGCTACTTTTCGGCCGCATGGCCGACAACCAAATAATGGTACAATTTTATGTGTCACTTTTCGGCCACTTTCGCTAATTTATTAACTTTATCAATAAATTATTATAATAATCAGTGTCAAATAACTATATTAGGTTATTTATACAGTGAAATATAAGCACAATATTAAGTAATTATATTAAATACAGCACGAAACTTACTTTTGAATGGAACGCTCGCCACTATTTTTTTTGCTCGATCTTACCCGTTTTGATAGCTTCAGTGTCGGCGTCAAACTAAACTATTTATTATAAATCGCGTGTTGTGTTTACTTGATTAATTAATGCTACCAGATATAGTGAAACTATTTACAAATGCATTAAACTGTATTTCTTACGATAATATTTATTAAAATTGTTATTAAATCAAATTTACTGCATCAGCTCGTGCCAAGGGCCGAAATCTAGACCCGGCCGGCTTACCGGCGCATCGACCCTATCTTTTTTTACAGAATGTGGGTGACAAATGAGCACACAGTCCATCTGATGGTAATTAGATGCTGTAGTTATAGACATCCACATTTATCCTTGGTTAAGAATCAAAACGCAGATGCGCTGTCACCCCTTGAGGACTAAGATGGAATGCCTCGTTTCCAGTGAAAGAGGGTCTCCGGATCTCGACACTCATCATACGAAACACAGCAGTATTAAGCTGCTATTTTACGCTGGTATTCTGTGATAGCGTGGTACTTCCCAGGTCGAGCTGACCCATTCGTGCTACAATCATAATATAACTGCAGCGTCGCTCTCACGCCACGACGACGCTTTGAAAGAAATGGTGTCGATTTAAATTAGAAATATAATTGACAACTTAAGTGGCGATATTTGATAACTTATCCACAGCAAATATATTATAAACACTCGTAAAAATGTTATACAAACCTGACAAAATTAGAGGCTATGTAACAAAGGTGGCCGCCGCTAATGTGTGCACACGCCCTATGATAAGTTACGCTAACAATGCAAGAAGTTGTCTAATTGCCTGAGTAAATTGGGTCAGAAAAATCCTTGTTAGCTCTGGAATCATCGTGCTTCCTCTATTACGTCACAAATTGCCCGCATGACATGCGGTGAACTTGTTGTCTTGAGCGATTCAAAATAAATATGGTTTTTATAGGTATAACATAACAATATTTTTGTCGTACATAGTTAATTCCAGTTAAAACAATTATTTACATTGAAAAAAAAAAGATACTGTGTAAAACAACACTGGTCTTCGACAAAAATAATTTCGAACTGACTTAATTTAAAAGGTATTTTCAGGGAGAAATGAAGAGAAACCTCATATTGGAATAAAGCATAAAACGTTATTTGTAGATGCCAAGTCATGCCCGTTCTATCTATCCATACTAGTCAATCTCCACTGGTAGGGATTCTCTTTCACCTATACCCAATTATTGCATAACTCGAGAAATAAGCAATAATAATAATAATATGTCCACCAGACGGCATTTCTAGAGAGAGACTAGCCATCTACACAGGGCAGGATTATAGTGTCTGAATGTTTGCGTAAGTGCAGGTGCACTCACTATATTCCCTCACTCTCTTAGTCCAATGGGAAGATAATCTGACGCAACCAGAGAGAGAGAGAGAGAGAGAGAGAGAGAGGTCAGGCGCAGGACCAACGGCTAACCTAATGCTTTCCGAGTCACGAGGGTGAAACATCGCCGATTTCCTGAGTCCGGCCTGCTACTGAGAATTAACTAAAGAATAAAGATTTAAATAAAATAATTGATTTTGGCCAGATCCGGGCTTCAAACCTTGAACCTCATGATCAGCAACTACGTTTAGTACCAGTAGCGTTAACTACGAGGCAGTCATGTAAAGCCGCCATAGGCATATTAATTTGTTTAGGTGTTTTAATGTATGTTTTTATTTAATGACTGACTATTATTATATTATAATGAGAAATTTTATTATAGGTAAATAAATATAAACGTATTATTTTTTAAAAGGTGTAAGATGTTTCTAATGCGTTTAAGTTATTCATTTTTGTTTTATCATTTCCATGTTACTGAATATAAATAATTTTAATTTGTTCTGTATTCTATAAAACCACGGAAATATTAATTTTCTTATATAAAATGACAGTTCAACAGAAGTTGTTAGCTTTCTGATAGTTATCAGTACCATCGGAAATATTCACATTTTTGAAATATCTATTATCAAGTATTTGTATTAAAAATTAGTCGATGATGAGGTTTTATATGTATTTTTTAACCCTTCAATACCCCATAAAATTCCCATGCAGTCGCATGCGTCTGTCAAATCCCGAGCGGTCGTAAATTGACAGTAGTATAAAAATAAAAATACATAGAGTAACTGACTTTTGTTTAGACCACAGGATAGAAAATTTTGTATTAATTCTATAATACCAAACTTCTTCATAGAAAAGTAGTCTCTAAATATAAGTTTAAAGTACTGTGGGTGGGTGCGGTCGGATCCGACAGCTTGAACTTTGACGGAATATCGCCTTGGTCGGATCCGACCGTGTACCCATTGAAAGGTTAAATACCGTCAGTAAAGGTAAAACTGAGTAAATTGAAAATTGACCACTGAGAAAGACTTAAAATATGTTGTGTTTCCATCAGGGCCAAGCCGTTGCGCAGCTTGCGAAGACAGTGGAGAACGTGACTGTCTTCGGCGTGTGCTCCAAGTCCAAACACGAAGCGCTGAAGGCTAACAATAATAACATCGATCATCTCCTTGAGAGGGGCAGCGATTACACCAACGAAGTCAGAAAGTAAGTAAAAATATTTTCCTTGTTTACCTGATGGCTGTTTTTTTATATAATAAGGCCCGAAACATACATACGGAATTCCGTTTCGGGAATCCGTTTCGGAATTCCGATTCGGGATTCCGAACACAGTAAGTTCATAGAAATCAATGACCCGTCACACAGCTACGGCAGTTTTCCGTACGGAATTTTGCGGGCATTACGCGATTCTGCAGGTGTGTGGCCGACCCGTTTGTTCCGTTTCGGAATCCGTCGGGAATTCCGTGTGTAGTGTATGGCGGTAGTAGATAAGCGTTCATCATCATCATCATCATCATCATTACAGCCCTTCACAAGTCCACTACTGAACATAGGCCTCCCCCAAGGTACGCCACAAAGTAGCAATAAGCGTTCACTTGTCCCTTAATTTCGTTAATCTCAACTCTTCCTGTCTTCCTGTCAGACCAGGTCGTCACTCAATATCGAAATCAAATTATTAGCTTTGCGAATTGTTCGGCATAGTTTATGACATAAATTTAATGCTCACTATTTTTTTTTGTAATACTGGAGTTTCAAACGAGTTATAGCAATTGTAAATGGCTACTGCAGTAAATGGACACAATATGTACTAAGACGGCAACAGCTGTTTTTACTTTTTTTTTCTGGGGAAAGTGAAATACTTAATCGGCTGGTATTGTAATTAATCTTTACCCAACTAACAAAAACTTAGGAACGTACTGAACTCCTGCTTAGAGACTCCTACACAGTAACGGAACTCTACCATCAACTGAATTAATATTTAGAAACCAAACAATTTACACAGTCGTATCAAAATACTATAAATTAACTAGATATTAAGATACGCAAGCTTTTTAACATTACTGCGTGTAAATAAAAGATACTATGTGTAATAAAAGATTAAAATAAACATTGTAATGACTCAGATCATGAATAAATCTAAGTAAAATCCAAAAATGAAGAAATGAAATCGTGAAATCAGAGTGCTAAAAATATAAGCCAGTCGCCGAGCCCTTTGGTTCACGAATGACATCTTGTATATGCATTGCGTGTCGTTAACAAAAATTTATTTAAAGCTTTGACGTGTTTGTATTATAAGAGTAAATATTGATTTTGCTGAGATTTTCCAAAGTACCTTTACAACATTACAAAAGTGACCTAATTACTGACGCATTCCAACGCCTATCAATTATTTCCATTACATTAACTTCCCGCGTGACTAATGTCTTTTAAGGCGCCTCTAATCCTGTCTGATTATGACAGCTAACAGTTAATTGGATTTTATTCATTCAAAGATCCCGCATTTTTACCGAGCAAATACCAATTGTTCTAGATCCCATGCTTTGTTAATTGGTTGTTATTACAGCCACATATTTCAGTCCCAATCATACAAGCCTGTGTTATTCAAACGTGACCAAATTATTTTGGTCTCTATCTCATTTCTCTACTTAAGGTCTCGTGTCGTATGTTCATTCAGAAAGGATGATAAATCTAAGGTCCAATTAAACCGGACACCGTGGACATTAATTGTTCCGTTTATATCTCGCTCCTTAGGGCAGCTGCTTCGTAACAACCGCAAGGCATTTAATTTTCGTAAATAGACAAAGATATTTTTATAACGGTTTAGCTCTTTGTAGCGTAAACAATCCGAGCCACACAATCTTAATATAAACAAACAGACAGTTCCAAGTAATGCTCGCGAGGGAGATAGAAGGAAAGGTTTATCGAAAAATCGATTTTATTAGGTCCGTGGACGTGAGGGTGTACGAAAATAAAACAATCGACTGTGTTAACACGCTATTTATGTTGTATAAAGTTCGCCTTTTCATATTTCTTAATATTTTTTATATACAGAAACATACTTTGTAACGTCAGTAATGATTTTCAAAAAGTTCTCTATGTTTTAATAATGACTATTGATGATACTGTCAGTAACACTTGACTTCAACTTCTAACAAAACGAAAACTCAAGTCAAATAGTCATGCTCAAGTCATTTCAGTACTTCACCATTGTGCGCTGTACCATTGCGTGTTGGCGAACTTCACATGTCTTCGAAATATTTTTTTCTTATATCTTAGACATGCAGATTTCCTCAAAATGTTTTATTGCAATTAACAATTTCATTGGTGCCGGCGGGGATCGAACTCGGTTTGATCGCGTACTGTGAAATTTACAGCGCTAACCATCTGAGCTACCAATAGATAAATTAGCAAACAAACCAGTCGCATTCTGTGAGTTCCCCCAACCATAATATTTATGCTGCAAGGATGATAATTGGTAATTAATAAACTGCACCTTTCGTGAATCCAAACTGCTAATTCACTGTGTAGTGCTTCGTTTGCTATTCGTGGCAAACATGGCAAGTATAACTAGGTATGAGGCAATCTTTGGGGATGCCTATTTTCAGTAACGGATTTGGATAGGATACATGACCATGATGATGATGATGAAATGTGGAGTACCTGGTGAATATAGCATTTTGTTAAGGTTAAGATTGTTGAGAGTTGCCCTTGTTGGCGCGAACCATTTTGATCTACTACGTGGTAGAGAAATGCTGAAGCTGTGTTAGTAGTATAGTTGTAGCACGAATGGATCGGCTTGACCTGAAAATGACCACGCTCTCACAGAACACCATCGTAAATAGCAGCTTAACCCTGCTGTATTTCGTATCGTGAGTATAGAGAATCGGAGACCCTTTTTATTGGAAACGAGGCATTCCATCTTAGTCCTCACGGGTGACAACGCATCTGCATTTTGATTTGTAATCGAGGATAAATGTTAATACAACTACTACTTACTACTACTATTAAATGTTACTAAAACCACTTACCATCAGGTGGACTGTGTACTTGTTTGTCACCCTATCCTATAAAAAATATACAGTAGGCTATATATGTTTAATGTATATGTATAACCTGCGATTGTTGTCACTTGGTGAAACTCCAGCTTCATTTTGTGATTTGGATAAACTCTTGTACTAGTTCCACAATATTGTTGGTGATATGATATGATATGATATTGGCAAATATTTCCAATTATCCTATGTTATCGTGCAGTGGTGGATAATGTTCACTACTCCATATCAACCCGTGGGTGTCCGTGTCCAGCCACGTATTCCTAATAATGAAATAATAAACTACGGTTGCTAAGCGTGGTCACTATAGTAAATATCCCCCTATGAGGCAATCTATGGGGGAGGCCTATGTTCAGCAGTGGACTTTAATAGGCTGTAACGATATTCCAATATATGCCAAGGTGACTGTCGGTATATCGAAGTGCTGAAGTGTTTGTATAGTAGGGTTACGATGCCTATCCGAGTACAGAACCAAAGTACGAAACCTATCCAACTGCAGAGAGGTGTAAGACAGGGTGACGTTATTTACCCGAAACTATTCACCGCTGCATTGGAAGACGTTTTCAAGTTACTGGACTGGAATGGATACGGTATTAACATCAATGGCGAGTACATCACTCACGTTCGATTTGCCGACGATATAGTCCTTACGACAGAATCGCTGGAGGACTTAAGCACTATGCTCAATGACCTTCAATAGTGCCTCCCAACGGATAGGTCTTGAGATGAACATGGACAAAACAAAGATCATGTTTAATGTACATGTCACACCTATGCCGGTAGTTGTTGGGAGCACTAAGCTCGAAGTTGTTGACGAGTACGTTTACCTGGGACAAATAGTCCGACTAGGTAAGTCCAACTTCGACCGAGAGGTCAATCGACGGATTCAACTCGGCTGGGCAGCGTTTGGGAAATTACGACACGTCTTTTCGTCAGATATACCTCAAAACCTGAAAACTAAGTTGTACAACCAGTGCGTGTTGCCAGTGATGACATATGGAACTGAGACGTGGTCCTTCACTGCTGGCCGTATGAGGACGCTCAAAGTCGCTCAGCGAGCTATGGAGAGGGCTATGCTCGGAGTTTCTCTGCGTGATAAATTTAGAAATGAGGATATCCGCAGTAGAACCAGAGTGATCGACATAGCCCGACGGATTAGTAAGCTTAAGTGGTAATGGGCCGGCCATATAGCTCGAAGAACCGACAACCGTTGGGGAAAAAAGGTTCTCGAGTGGCCCCCCACTAGATGGAGTGACGACCTGGTAAGACATGAAGGAAGTCGATGGACGCAGGTGGCTCAGGACCGTGCTTTGTGGCATACCTTGGGGGAGGCCTATGTTCAGCAGTGGACTTGCGAAGGGTTGTAATGATGATGATGATGAACGATATTCTATGCCTATTTCCTGTAGACTGCAATATACTAATAATGACGATGATTCACTAATGTAGAATCGTTTCCTTGCTGTAGGATTTCACCTGACGGTGTCGATATTGTGTTGGATTGCCTCTGCGGCGAGGAGTGCAACCGCGGCTATCAGCTAATGAAACCCATGGGTCGATACATTCTATATGGTAAGTTTTCTATTAACCTAATTTTGTAAGAACTTAAACTCTTTTATTATTATTAATGAGACTAGAAAAATTTCTTGAAAAAGGATTTACAGGATATTTTATTCACTGCTCGACTAATACTTTTGCAGAAAACACCGGTCAGTATGCCTGTGAATGAGTTTTTTATACTCGCACGCTGTAGCGGAATGGTGAATGCTCCTTTAAAAAAAAGTTTAATAATGCTATATTTTTAACTAAACTTTAAAAGCTTCTTTTCGCTTTTTTAGTATTAAATAAAATGTAAATAAGGAAATCATATTCATAATCATATAAATTTTACACGTGGTAGAGCCACGCTACAGCTACATATAGTTGTAGCACGAATGGGTCGGCTCGACCGGGGAACGACCACGCTCTCATAGAATCCAGCGTCATATACTAACTTGGTGCTGCTGTGTTTCATATGGTGAGTGTAGAGAACCGGAGACCCTTTTTACTGGAAACGAGGCATTCCATCTTAGTCCTCAAGGCTGACAACGCATCTTCATTTTGATTCGCAAACGAGGATAGATGTAGATGTCTATGGACCACAGCATCCACTCACCATCAAGTGGACTGTGTGCTCGTTTGTCACCCTTATTCTATAAAAAAACTTATTTTTTCAAGCATTTAATAGTAGATTGCAACATTTGTTATGCAATTAATTCCGTACATAACTAAACGTTTCAAAGCTAAACATATAATACTAACTAACTGGGAAACGTCGCTTATCACAGGATCATCCAACATCGTGACCGGCGAGACCAAGAGTTTCTTTAGCGCAGCGCGTGCCGTGAGTATCTAATGTGCTTAATTATCTGATTTTCAAAGACATATTTTCCAGGAAGCCAAGAGTGTGTGTGTATGAGTGCTGGCACTTAATCTAAACAAACTTCAAACGATTTTGTTTGTAGTATTTAAAATGATTATAACTTAACAAAAGGTAACCGACTTCAAATTGCTAAAAAAAGAAGTTGTTTATTTTTTTCTTTTAATTTATTCGTGACCACCCTTGAAATATAACCTATTTCAAAAAAAGTATCATTAAAGCCGGTTTTTTATCTGCGAAGGTACTATATGAAATTCCCTAAACAATAGTTCAATATGAAATCTTTTCCCCTATTTTCGACCCTTAGGGGCAGAAGTGTTTCTTCGAAATTTAATGGTACTATCCTTGAGGTAAAGCCTATTTAATAAAAAAGGAATGATTAAAATCGGTTCAAAATCTGCGAAAATATCGCGTCACATACACACAAAAAAAAAGAACATACACTAGAATTGCTAACCTCCTCCGTTTTGAAGTCGGTTAAAATAGTAAAGTAAGCGTAACAAGTTGACTGTATAGGATATTTAGAGGACTACTAACTAAGTAAAGCCAAAGCCAAACCGGCTACATATTATGGCTGGACTTTTTCTAATTTTTAAATCATTCATACTGGGTGATAATTTTCTGCTACGTGCTACTTTAAACGTGGTAGAGACATCCTACTGCTAAATTATGGTTGTAACATGAATAGGTCGGCCGGGAAAGGACCACGCTCTCGCAGAATACCAGCGTAAACTAGCAGCTTAGTGCTGCTGTATTTTGTATGGTGAGTGTAGAGAACCGGAGACCCTTTTAACTGGAAACGGGGCATTCCATCTTAGTCCTCAGGGATGACAACGCAACTGCGTTGTGATTTTCAATTGAGATATAAAATGTAATATGAAATGTATTTGGTAATTGACATGATTTTGATCGTTAACATAAAAACAATTTAAAAAATCATGAATTTTTACTTTACGCTAACTTTTAGATTAACTTTAAAACCCTGTTCAAGTTCTAAAGGTTAAGAGAAAAGTAAAGAGTCGCCTAATTTTTAAAACCCTGTTACTATTATGATTCATATTCTAAAGGCTAAGTGGGATATGAAGCGGTTTAATTAAACAAGATTCGAGCGTGGGGAGCGATTATAAAAACAACTAGTGATCTACTAGTGATTTCTAGATCTCGACTACAGCGCCATCTGCCGGGTCCAGTTGAGTTTTTTAATCATCGAGGAACCCACTCAAATACACACAAAATAATTCTACAGATTAATTTTATTAGGTATTCGTTATAGCTCGAACTATAATAACAAAGTAATATTTTTTTTACTTTCACTATAACGCCCCCGCAATCCCCTTCGTGAGTGGAATTTCGTAAAATTCATTCGCGGTTGAACTCAAGATGACACAAAAATAATTTTGCAAAATTTCAAACCTATAAGAGCTACATATAGATTAAAAGTTTAAACTTTTTTTTTATAACTTTCATATAATCTGTTCTCGGCAAAAAAATATTCTCGCCAAGTTTTATACCTCTATTAGAGCTATACTTTGAAATGTGATTTTTTTTAATTAACGCCCCCGCAAGGAGAGTTGCGGGTGTAATTTTGTAAAATGCGTTCTTAGCTGACCTCTACTCGGCGAAAGCAAAGTCGGTAGGCCTTATGGTTCCAGAGATATCGTATGAGTTAGTACATAGGCGGAAGTCTCTTATGTTTACAAGATTATAATAGAAAAAAATAAAAGATAAGATTACCTAGATCACATTTGCACATATTGTAGTGGTGGCAAGTTGACAAGGTGTCGCCTATCAAGCTATTCGACGAGAACAAGAGCCTGGCGGGATTGAACCTGCGGCATCTATTGTTCCAACACGGGCGCGCTGATTACGTCCGTCGTGCTGTTGATAACGTGTTCGCGCTGTGGAGACAGGGCAAGGTGAAGCCCCTCGTCGACTCCACTTGGGCCCTCGAGGACGTAAGTATATAAGTCATCAACAAAACTTTATTGTTTTAAAAATAGTATTGCATTCTATTGACCCGATTGCGATGGAACCCTCCTGGGTTTCACTTATTAAGTATCATAAGGTCTTTATTTGCAGTCTCGTATTTCTTTAAACAAAAGTTGTTATTTTGGCTTTCGTTTTTATTGATCACCACTTTTCGTTTTATTATTCTTTTTCAAAATTTCCGGTTTCCATAATAATGGGTCAGCTCGACTGGGGAATGACCACGCTCTCATAGAATACCAGCGTAAAATAGCAGCTTAATGCTGACGTGTTTCGTATGGCGAGTGCAGAAAACTGGAGACCCTTTTTACTGGATAAGAGGCATTCCATCTTAGTCCTCGCGGCTGACAACTGGTACAACGCATCTGCATTTTGATTCGCAAACGAGGATAGATGTAGATGTCTATGACGATGACTACAGCAACCACTTACTACCAGGTGGACTGTGTGCTCGTTTGTCACCCATATCCTATATTAAAAAAATACCCTTTGGACTGCTTCGGTCCATAGACATTTATTTAATTTTTTCTCCAAATACCGAACAAAATATTGCATGTTTTTGGAATTCGAACCCCGGACTGGAACTAGAGATTAAACATTCCTTCACTGTTATACCCTCATCGAATGAAAGTATGAAAATTTGAAATTATTGACAAAGACTGATTTCATACTCCTTGATTTTTTACAATATGATTGATAAACACTGGTTCAAAATTAATCAACTGTTCCATTGTAATATTTTAAATTACACTTATCTTCACGCACAATCCCTAACGGGGTAGCCAGAGAGAACAGATCGCCAAGTGTCACGATCCTTACATACCTCTTTCGCTTCTTTCAGGTTCATTATCTTCTTCATACATGCACGTCTAGGTATCCGAGTATTCTTGACCTTCCCCTCTTCGAGTAATTTGCTCACATGGTCTTCGAAAGTTAGTCTCGGTCTACCTCGACACCTTTTAATATTTACTTTCGCGCTATATATTTTCTTCACCATTCGGTCTTCACTCATTCGCTCAACGTGCCCAAACCATCGAAGTACGCCCCTATCAATTTTTGTGATAAGATCATCTTTCAATCCTGCCATATTGCGAATCTCTTTGTTTCGCTTTCGGTCGGTTATGGTAACGCCGCACATTTTACGAAGAGATCGCATCTCCACTGCATTCAACTTGCTTTTGTGCTTCTTCTGGCATACCAAGGTTTCGCTGCCATACAACAAAGTTGTTACCAACATTGCGTTATGTATTGCATGACGTGCACTCTTCACTTCGTGAAATTTATTATGACATTGCAAACTATTTTTTATTGATGTTTATTTTTTATTTATAATTTTTTTTATTGATTTTCAAAGGTTGGCGAAGCTATGCAGAAGATGCATGACCGCAAGAACATCGGCAAACTCGTGCTCGACCCGTCTCTGGAGCCAAAACCGAAGCCCGCAACTCCCGCAAAGGGCAAGGCCGGAAAGGAGAAGAAGCCAGCCAAAGAGAGCTCCGAGGAGAAGAAGGATAAGGATATGAAAGAAGAAGAGAAGAAGCCAGCAGAGAACGGCGAAAAGAATGGTGAGGAGCCGCTCTCTAATGGTAACAGTGACGAAGGTCAGTCTCGATCTATTATGACCAGGCATGCGTAGCTGCGTAGACGCCTCACATCGTACGTTCATTATATTACAAGTATTGATTTTATTTTCGCTTAATATTATTTTGGACTTACTACGCACATACTATTGATTAAGCGCACATTGGAGTCTTTGATCGGCGTCAAGCGAGATCGCTATTATGAATATTTAGATTTTAAATTAAATTAATTTTATGGATTTTATCGCGTTTAATTTTAACTTTCACGTTTCGTGTGCTTTACAGCCTCATGGTCACGGTCATGGAGGGACCGAGGTGTTTGAAGTCCCGACGTCATAGTAAGCCCTACCTGCCGGATTTTAAATATTAATTTTTAATCCGAACCGATTGGGTTTGCGTTTAATTTTATTAATTATCCCCATCTATCTTCTCTCTTGGAATTAGGATATATTTTTTTTAATTTTGATAGTATGGTGATTCATCATTGATAGGAATCGGTGTTCTTTTGAGAGAATTTGGGGTTTATCAAACCTAATATAATGGCTGGGTCGATGTTGAACATGTTCACAGACTTCAGACTTCCTGCTATCTATCCTAAGGATACCACCACAAGACATCAAGATACTGTAAGCTCATTAGATCGGACTAAACATATTTATAAACTGAAGGTAACCCGGGCTAACACAGTCCTCCCCGTGACTATGAGTACTGAACGCCAAAGGTAAAATTAAACACGATAAAATACGTAAAATTAGTTTCATTTAATGTGTATTATTCTCATAATGATTTCTTAAATTTACGCGAACACTACACATTGAATAAAACTATTATTTACGGATTTTATCGCGTTTAATCTAAACTTACTAAAAAAAAATTAAACGCGATAAAATCCGTAAATAATAGTTTTATTCAATTTATTATTCTCGTAAATATAAGAAATCATCATCTTTAGATTTGCTTAATTAAATAATTTTAATAATATTGTTGCCTTAGTTCTACACGTGCTTTTAGAGCAGCTGCTACATCTTTATTTCTTACAAACAAACCAAAATTCAATCGCTTTGAACAGTCACCCGTTTTGAATCACGTTCATCTTTGCAATGTCATAATAAATTTCACGAAGTCTGCTCTCGTAAATGTGCGCTTAGTCGGCTTGGTCATGACGAGTCGAGTCATACGGCCTTGGATATAAACTGGGTACGCTTTACAATAACGACGTTCTTAAATATAAGGCATAACTTTTTTGCACTTTAATTTATTCAAATATCATGATACTATCAAGCCTTACCTGCATTAATACTTATGCTATATATGCTTAAAAAGCAACTGAATATGAATACATACATCCACATTTATAAGTTATAGATAGATTTAAATAATTTTTAAGTGCTTAACTGCAAGCTATAGTTAAAGCATTGGCTTAATAGAAAACGTTTAATTATTGTTAAAAGCATTTTGAATGAGTAACGGATGTCGTTATGGTACACGTTTTTACGTGGTAGAGCCACGCTGCAGTTATATTATAGTTGTAGCATCATCGATCACTAAAGCACGAATGGATTGGCTCGACCGGGGCAGGACCACGCTCTCATATAATACCAGCGTAAAATAACAGCGTAATGCTGCTGTGTTTCGTATGATGAGTGCAGAGTAACAGAGACCCTTTTTACGGGAATCGAGGCATTCCATCTTAGTCTTCAGGGGTAACAACGCATATGCAATTTGATTGTTAATCGAGAATAAATGTAGATGTCTATGGGTCATAGCATCCACTTACCATCAGGTGGATTGTGTGCTCGTTTGTCACCCAATGCTATTAAAAAATCATAATAAAAGAAAACAAATCATATTAAAAATCATAAAGTTAAGTCATAAGTTACACGTTAAAAGAAATAAAAATAGCTTTATTCTGAGTTTCATCTTTTTGAATAAATATTTCTTTAGAAAACGTTTGATTATTGTTAAAAACATTTTGAATGAGTAACGGACGTCGTTATGGATACATAAAGTTAATAGTAACACGTTAAAACATTGCGGCGGTGGATGCCGCCACCGAAGTATGCGGTGTAAGTAAGAGAACAAATGAAAGGAAAAGTAATACATTGTGGTGGGATGATGAGGTACGGGTGGAAGTTGAATCAAAGAAGAAAGCATGGTTAGATTTACTAGCAACCAAAGCTGGTAATTCTTCTGGTATGAATGATGAGATTGAAAGAAAAAAGGCAGAATTTAGACGTCAAAATAAGAGAGTAAAAGAAGTTGTTGAAAGGAAAAAGAAAGAAAGAACGGATAAGAATGATAGAAGGATATCTGATAATTTCCAGCCTAACATAAAAATGTTCTGGAAACTCGTAAGAACTGCCAGGGGAAATACAAAACGGCCTATAATGAATGCTATAAGAGACGAGAATGGATGTATTCTGAATGATGAAGTTTCGAATTTAAACAGATGGAAGGAATACTTTGAAAGCGTGTTTATGAGTGAAGAGTCGTCTGAATTAAATGAATGATAGAAATTCCGAAAGAAGTAGAAAGGGGTATGGAGATAAGTGTAGATGAAATAATGAAAGCAATGAAAAGCATGAAAGCAGGTAAGGCAGCTGGATATGATAGAGTATCACTCGAGATGCTAAGGGCTGGAGAGGGAGTGGTGGCAGGCCTGTTGTACACCTTGTTTAATTTATGTTGGGAATTAAAACGGGTACCGGATGACTGGTGTAAAGCAGTTATAGTACCAATATATAAAGGAAAAGGGTCACAGCAGGACTGCAAAAACTACCGTGGTATCAGCTTGCTTAGTATTGTGTGGTAAACTGTATGCTAAGGTGTTAATTGAAAGAGTTATGAAAGAAACTGATGGAAAAATTTGGGATGTGCAGCGGGTTTTAGAAAGGGAATGGGGTGTACAGATCAAGTCTTTTCCATGCGCATGATTGCGGAGAAGTTTTTGGCCAAAAACCAGAAAGTTTTTTTGTGCGTTCATGGACTTGGAAAAGGCTTATGACAGAGTGGACAGGAATGTGTTATGGCAAACACTGAACTCATATGGGTTGAGCGCTGGTTTGATACAGGCATTAAGGTCTCTTTATAGGGACTCTAGTGCTTGTGTCAGGATCAATGGGGTCTACTCAGACTGGTTTGGCATCCAACAAGGTGTCAGACAGGGCTGTGTAGCTTCCCCTTGGCTGTTCAACCTATTTATGGACAGGTGTTTGCAAACTTTGAAAGATGAAGAATGTGGGTTAAGAATGGGCGAGTTAACCGTCAAATGCCTTTTGTACGCCGATGATCAATATAGCGTCATCGGCGGCTGAGTTGCAAGTGATGGTTACATTAATGAACTGGGAATTAAAAGAAAGGGGAATGAAAGTGAACGCAAGTAAGACGAAAGTGATGGTTTTTGAAAGAGAAGAAAGCAAAACGGTATGTGAAATAAGAATAGAAGGAGAGTTAATTGAGCAAGTGGATGAGTTTGTGTATTTGGGATGTGTATTTAGCAGGGATGGTAGATATGATAGGGATATAGAACGACGAGTAAATGCAGGGAATAGAGTGAATGGGGCACTACACTCTATTATGAAGAACCAGAATGTGTCCAAAAAGGCACGTATGGTAATTCATAATGCTGTGTTAGTCCCTACTTTAAATGTACGGTAGTGAAAGCTGGGTGTGGCAGAAGAAGCACGAAAGTAGAATAAATGCTGTAGAAATGCGGTCTTTAAGGAGTATGCTAGGGTTGAATCTGAATGACAGGGTGAGAAATTGCGTGATAAGAGATAAATGTGGTATGCAAGATGATGTTGTGACCAGGATTCAGAAAGGAATGCTTCGGTGGTTTGGTCATGTAGAAAGAATGAATGAGGAAAGAGTGACAAAGCAAATTTATATGACAGATGTGAACGGCCGAGTCGGGAAGGGACGCCCTAGAAAAAAGTTTATCGACCAAATTGGCGATATTTTGAAAAGGGGCCACGTTAGAAGTACCCTTAACCGACGAGCATGTATGCGTGATATATGAATGTAAAGGAGGCGAAAGAGGTATGTCAGGATCGTGCCAAATGGAAGTCCATAGTCTCTGCCTACCCCTCTGTGTGACAGGCGTGAGTGTTTATGTTATTATGTTTATGTTAAAACAGATAAAAACAGTTATGTTCTGAGTTTCATCCATTTGAATAGATATAACTTCTTTCAGAGTCAAAGGAGAAAGAGAAGGAGAAGGAAAAAGAGTCTAGCTGAATTGTTTCTCCAGACGACTGAACCGACGAACCACCGCCGATACATTATTTTAGAGTTGAAGCTGATGTTTTTACCGATGCGTCGCATCGCATCGCCACTGCTTGTTCCCCGGCGCCGCTGCCGAACTATTACTGAGTTGCCTCTTGTTTTATTATGTTAAACCTAAAATTAATAAGTCTGAATACGACCCTGTGCGATCCTCTTATAGTCTTGTAATCTACCTAAAGGATCGCACACGGCCGATAAGTAATTCTTAAATTAGTTAGTTTATATACCCATCTGTCATCACATTGTTTTTATTTTAAGGGAAATAAATTATAACCTGTTAACATACTTCGATTTGACATAGGACAGCGAATTAGAAAGGAATTTTTATTCTAATTACGGTTTAATTTTCATTAATCAGGCCTAAGTTAGTAATTATTTCGAAACTCAAGTCTTTTATCGTTTAATGTTTAAGACCTTATTTTAGGATGAGATATTTTAATCAGCAGTTATTTTGAATGGCTATTATATATCTAAGGTGCAAAGATGCTTAATGTTTATGTATGTTAAGCTTTAATATTTTATTAGTAAATGTTTAAAATTTGGCCCACGAGACCCAATCCGCCGCCCGGGCGCACTGCACTCACACTCGCCGCACCGCTCTATTCAACAATTCATCTTTCAAAAACCTTACGTGTGATATTTTGTAGTAGGAAAGCTAAATTTTCATAACGCTTTTACATGACATTCTTATTTTATTTTTATTGATCTTAAAATGCAATTTAATATTTTGAATTTATATTTTTATACTTAGAAGTTTTGTAAATTATTTTTTAGTTAAGAAAGTTAATCTTGGTTTTATTTATGCACCAGTCATTGTGTGGTATAGAATTGGACGTCCATTTAGCTCGACATTTAGCTAAAGCATCCATAGAAGGAGTTATAGGAAGAGCTAATCGGAGTTAAGTAAAGATTTTGAAGTTTTTCGATGGCAACCTGATAATTCGTGTAAAATTCAATGTATAAATGGCACCTAAGATATAAGTCGTATTTTTGTAAACCAAATGACCATGATGAGATCTCTTATAGAAGCTTTCTTATGTAATTTATACACAAATACCCACATATCTAATCTCATAAATACACTTTCACACAATTTATATTAGAATAATATTTTGATAACAATATTCACTGAATTTCTTTTTGATATAACTAGCATATATTTAACTATTCCTGGTTTGTTTATAAGATGTAAGTAAAACTTTAATTGCCATAATGTACAGTATGGTTGTAGTCGTGTACCCAGTACTATAAATGATTTATCTGTAACGACATATCATGCGGATATAAAATTATAACAGAGGCTAAATACGTAGACCGGAACTGCCGAAGTAAAACGAGGCTTTAGAAGTTCGCATTAACACATTCTGCTCAAATAACAATAAACCTGCCATAATATAGCGTTGACGCATCGTATGTTCGATACAATGGATGATTCATTTAACAGACTTAGGATTTTTATATGAACTTTTACCCCCTTTTTGAACGTTTTTGCACGAGCATAGTTTGCGTTAGCGCGTTTTGTAATCCGATTCGTATTATGGTAGCTGGGATGAGTTCCTTGCAGGGACGGCCGAGCTGCAGGCGTTGGTTGTGAGCACTATGGGCGCAAATGCGTCCATATTGGACCGAATGGACCGATTCAGTAGCTTTTGTATTGTAATAAAGCGGTGAGCAAGCCGCTACGCTGCTTTGTCTATCGTACGGTGGCTTGGTGCTAGTTTCGTATTGTACGTGAATACAAATCGCTTCAGTGTCTCGGACCAAAATCTTTAAGCTACTTTATTCTTCTCATTAGTAATGTTCGTCGCTTTATGTGTCAAATATATGCGAATTTCTTGTAATGTAAACGTATATTATTAATTGAATCTTGTGTATATCGACCTGTATAATGGTTTAGAATTATCTGAATTTTCGTCTATAAGAATTCCCGATGACATTCAATAGTTTAACCTAGCTGGGGTGACCGCGCCGTTTGTGATTGTGCCCAAAATTTGTTGTAGGTTAGTGTCGATAGTGATGCCAATATTTATTATCCTTGGTAAAGTTCCAGTGACTGTTGAACCTGCGCGGTGACGCCGGCTGATATAGGCTGGGTCTTATTGTATTACACATTTATTTTTGTAAGGGCGGGCCAGTGTGATATCGATACTATGAAATGGATAAATAAATATGTATGATCTGTAAAAATGTGTATTTATTTTTATAACATACCATTAGATGCTAATTCAACTTATAATACGCCCGAATTATTTTCAGTTTTTAAAGAAAACTAAACAATACTTTTGAAAGTGGATTAAATTCACATATTATTGAACTGATTAAAAGGTTTGTGAAACATTAATATTTACATTAACATTGGCTTTAGAGCAAAGCCGTTCGGTGTATGGGGCAGCATCGGCACGGCCATACGTAATACTCGGCACGACTTCGCCTATACAGGTTTTTCGGAAGGTAGATGCTAAGCCTTAAGGGAAACAGGTCAACCAGTGAAGCAAATTTTTGAGCAGTTTACCCTAACCTGATTTCTAGTTATTGTGAAGATTATGATTTTGTGCACATATCTCAAAAATTTGGTATTTATAACAATTAAACCGGCTACAATCAGTACCTAAGTTGTTTCTTGCCAGTAATGCAAAGTCAGAAATTTGCATTTAGAAAAAGACTGAATTAGGGGCTTTAAGTGATAATTAGTTGCAAAGTTAAAAAATGTGTTCCAAAATTTTCACCGCAACGAACTGTTAAAATTGCTGGCAAAACATATCTCCAGCAACGCAGGGACGATAATAAATACCTATATTATGATAAATATTAATAGAGTAATTAATTCTTTAATTCCTTGCTGTTCCTTGACTTCGTCTGGAAAAAATAGGGTCTAACTGGTGAACGGAATAGAAGTTTAGGGCTACGGAGTGTAGAGGTAAGGAGTACAGACTTTATAAAAAAGTGTCCGTAGGAAAGCGTTAAGTAAAGGTTGCGCCACTGTGGCTACAGTCTAAATTTTAAAGAACATTTTTAATAATTTTTTTATTGCACATTCTTTCACCATAATTCTTTTTACAATAATTATTTTATTGCTTTCAAAATTTTTATTTTCAAAATCATTCAACGTATTTTACGGCGATTTATCATACCCCGTTTTAGTATGCAAATGTTCCCGATGTCCGCTCTATAGTTATTATATATTTAAATCTCTTTGGTTAACATCAAAGTAATGACACTAACAACACCAAACCACCACCAAAAACTCGTTGAAAAGCAGCTTTTCGAATTCACAGTCGCGAATCGAACGTTTCGTAATCATGATGGATCAGATGCCGCGCCGTGGCAATCGGTGTGCTCTTTCCCGCCGTTCTTCTGCTAACGCTGGCCAATCAAACAAAAAAGAACAATCTTAAGAACTTCGATGAAATTATATAGGCTGATAATTAGTGAATTATCGTTTATTGTTCACTTTAATCTAAATAGACACCATAAACAACAACATTTGCGTAAATGTGACAATTTTCAAAGTTGTGCGTAACAAAAGCATCCCGCTGATGATCCCAAAGGAAAGAATGAAAAACATGGACGCTTTGCTGCCTCTTTTGACCAATTGAAACTGAAACTATTATTCTGTACCTGTAAAAATATTAAAACACTAAATTAATGTGAATAGAAATCCAAATAATACATTTTCGTTTATTGAAAGAAACTAGTTTGTCAATTTATTTTGTTCTTTTATACCTGAAAGGTGAACTCATCGTCATTCACTGCGGTGTGTATAATATGGCCATGAGACCTCGATAACCTAAGGCATGATCTGACTATACACTTTTCTCAGGTATGTCGGATGAAATGTCCTCAATGATTATTTTTGAACGTATGACCGAAGTAATGTGATGGCTTAAGTAATGGAGGCTTAAGTTGGAAGCGATAAGAATGATAGAGAAAACAACCCTTTCGCCGCAGCGCAGATCTCCAAAGTAGATATGAGAATAGAATTCCACGAGATTGGACATGCCTTTATGCTAATTAATAGAATCAGGCGTCCAATTGCGGAAATTAATTATGTTGAAGTTGTTAGACATAATTAATTAAATTCAATATAATGATAAGAAATCTTAACGGTCAACCATTGTAAAGTCTACTTCACATGAGGATGCCTCGTTAAAAGGCGAAACGTGTGTCGTATTATCGAGGGGGGGTGTGTCGTTTCTAGTGGGGTGGTGACGAGGGTAGTGCACGCAATTGAAAGAAGGTGGGAGGTGCTCTTGAAACTGGGCAGGACACATCATTTTCTTTCATTACGCGGAAATAAGGAAATTAAGTTAACTTCAATGCCTCTATGCATATCTACTAACGTCAAGTATTTTTGATAATAATTTTGGTATTTCCTTAAAAGTGAACGCGGACTGAACGTCATTCAGTATGTTAATATTGTGGATTCCAGCAGTGTCTCACTAGAGCTTACATTCGACTTTTTTGTACATCTTCTTCTGGTCGGACAAATTGTGGGAGGAAAACATAGTCGTTAACAACTCCGAGCATTGTGCTAACAACTACCGGCATAGTTGTGACATGGACGATATGACCTGTGTCTTGTCCTTGTTCATCTTTAGACCTTCATTGTTCATCTTTAGACCTTTCCGTTGGGACACTACTAAGGTCATTAGCATAGTTCTAAGATCCTCCAGCTATAATAGCTATATCGTCGACAAATCGAAGGCAAGTGATGTACTGTAACAAGAAAGGGTTGGACCACCCCCAGTTCATGATACAACAATGGCACCGAAGGTGCAAAAAAAAAGTTTTTTAAAAAAAAAATCGAAACCGGCTCTCGATGGTGAAACAAAGGCGCGAGAGAAAAAAACGGCGAAGCAAAAAAAAAAGGGTGTGAAACAAGACCACGGCACTTCTGCTCACGACTCCGGAGTAGTGCCACTATGAAGGACGAAATCAAAGGGTTTCAGAAGGTGTAAGGCTTTCCATCTATTTTTATCTGCATAGTACCTAATAACTGTTACTAGAGAGGGCAGTAGGTATAGGTCTCATTATTAAAGGTTTATTAAAAAAAGGGTAATTTTATACTTCGCGTCACCTCGTTTTTTTAGCTCTAGAAAATCGAAAAATCATCCAACTTTTTTTATAGAACAGGGGGCAGACGAGCATGTGGCTCACCTGATGTTAAGTGACCACCACCGCCCATGATCAACCGGATAGGAGTACCGGAAAAGACGCGTTAAAACCGGTGCCAACTCTAGAGCACACGTCCTCAGCACAATTAGGGGGGATTCCGTCAGGCCCACTCCACTTGTGGATGTCAAGGAGAGGAGTGCTTTGCGAACCGAGCGCTGTGTGAACTGCACTTCCGGCATGGAGCACTCATACCGCGGGATGGTCGGCGGCGTACTCCCCCCGTCATCGAGAGTCGAGTTGGATGCAAAGAAAGGGCGCAGCAGATCGGCTTTCTCCTTTGCGGTATGGGCCAGTGAGTCGTCCTCCCTGTGAAGAGATGGAAGAGATTGCTGACAGAAATTACCCTGGACAGCCTTGGCGAGAGACCAGAATGCACGGGTTCCAAAAGAAAGGTGAACTAGTTTCTCGCCAATTCTGTCTATGTGCTCTGACTTTGCCTTGGCAATGACTCTTTTGAAGGACCTAGAGGCGGAATTATACCTACTTCTTTTTTAGAGCGCTGGTGTTTACATCCCGGGACTTTGATGCGCAGCCCAGGCTTGGCAGCACTCCTGCTTATAGCATGATGCTGTTTTATAGGAACGACCAAACCATGGCTGAGATTTGCCTCCGATGGGCACCACAGAGGAAGGAATAAAACTTCCATATCCTGAAGTACCACATCAGCGACAGAATCAGCAACAACATTGGGATCTTCCGGCGAGAAGCAAACCCGTTCCCAAGGGTAGGGTTCAAAGAATGACCGCATCCTAACCCAATTGGCTGACCTATAGTGCCAAACACGGCGGCAGCCTGCAGAATGCAACCGCAATTACAGCGTGAGTGGCACCACACTCCGGACAAGACAATGGTCCGAGGAGCCTAAAGGGGCGTCGACGGAAATTTTTGAATGCGGATTTACGAAAAAAATTACAAGAATAAAAAAAAATGAAATCTTATATTGGTTTCAAGGTTTTAAATGTTCATGAAAATGCACTCATTCACGTTTAATTGTTGATAACTTTTTTTAAATAATCAAATGAAGTTGTTATATTTTTTCATAATCTACACAAAAAAAACGAACACTGAGTCAATGCACTGTGCCACTAATGGCCATTGCGTGTCAATCGGGGAGGTGATGGCAAATGTTACATACAACAGGAAAAGCCTGTGTCAACCTGTGGACTATCACCCAACATTAGTGAAGAAGATACATTTACCATTTAACTGTTTGGCCTGGTGGTGTAAAGAATTAATTACGACTCCGCTGATCTGGGTCCAACCTCATGCGGAAGCAGCATTTATGAAAAAACACAAATTATGAGTTTCCGGCTATGGTTGTATTTATTGTCCCTTTTGCTTATGTATATCTGATTTTGCATCCCAGCCTACCGATAGATTACATCGGTTATGACCTACCTATTGACCTGTTAGGACGAGTGGAATGCCTCTGTTTGCACATACACTTACGCCACTGTAATATCCCCAAAGTAGTTATCGACAGCTACCGATTTTCGGGTATTTTTGCCTTGGTCGAAAATTTTTAATATTATTTCGGACTGCAAATAAGATATCTATAATAATCTTACTATGTTTAACAATCAGCATGTGTTAAAATATCGGCGTTTTTTCTTCTTTTTAAAACAGAAAAAATAAACGAATGATGCCACTGATAATCCTGCAACCCACGGCAATATAAACATCGTACTAACAATTATCGCATAACCTCTATTTGAAAGTCACATTACTGTTAATTTTTGAGCCGAAGTTAAAGAAATCAAAATCAAATGCTGACCATAGTAAATAATGTAGTGAAACTATTAAGTTTACCTGTCATAGTTTTCTTCTTTTATTGCTGTTCTAATATTTTCCGCCAGTGTCAAACACAGATCAGGAATAATTTTTTCACTATATTCAATTTCTTTTAACTCTGAATCCACAATTTTTTGAAGTATCTTCTTAACATTTTCTTGGTGGAAATGTTTCTTGGAATTGAGTTGGTAGGTTGGTTGATAAATTCTCACCTGTTTCGGCAGAGATTTCCTTTCTGACATTATTTTGTTTAATCAATACCATGAACACAATGATATAAAACCGTCGGTAAGGGTATGAGGGAATGTACCTAAAAGAATGTCGGGCGAAACGGGTAGGCTATTAAATACGAAACAGCCAGTAACGACCCCAGCACACGAGCCTAGAATGCACTGTTCTAAATCATAGGAAGGTTTTGAAATTAATATATTAAAAATCTTAAAAATATGTATTTTCTATTCAAACGTGATATGTATTGTGATTTTTTATTCATTTTTATATACCTACTCTATGAGATCGATATATTAGAGTTAAGAGAATGCGAAAGCACACACCCGCACCATCTCACGCACACATTTTTCTTCTTTCTTTTAAAAACCCGTAAAAGCTGTGTGCTGACTGACGTAGATAATACACGTACAACGATATTATTAATTGCAAATAGGTTTTAAGTATGTTAAACTGGTGGTTGAATGTTTAGGCTTAGTTTCGGTCCTTAATGGACCTACGAAGCGTTCCATCTATATTTGTTTGTTGGTTTGTGTGTTGTTTTGACTTTTGATACAAAGTGTAGAATATTCCGATATTAATTAGATTCAAGCACGGGCGTGCTACCCAAACGTAACGTTTGGGTAAAACGTCCGTGGATTCAAGACATAAATTAATATATGTGGCTTTTAATCAATATCATTAGTCTTATCGACTAAAAAGGGCTGGCATCATTAATTAAGGGATATATTAACAATGTTCTCCAAGCCGAATTTCGATCACGGCAGATATTCTCAACTGAGACTAGGCAGCCGCTTGTCCAGGTCTGGATTATAATCCACGAGTGAGTGCGCAAGTACAGATATAGGTACCCTCTGTTACTTTACTCTCAGGGTCCGATGGAACGCCAGTCTTGCGCGAACGGAATGTGATCAGGTGCGGGACCAATGGCCTTTGCGAGGCAGAGAAACCTAATAACTGATTTTGGCCCGACTCGGTTCTCGAATCCGTCTGGGATTCGATTGAAACATATGATCAGTAGTGGCACTTACACAACACCAACAAGGCAGTCAATGGGTTGTGTATCATTTATGATATATGAAAGGGATAGTATTATATTAGGTACTTTTTACCAGACTGCGCAGAAGGAGAGATAAGTAAGTATGTTGCGTTGTCTGTTATTTTGTGATCTGTTGAAGTTATAACGGTTTGACGAAATTTAATAAGCAAATTTCCTTTAAAATTTCTCCTTAATCTCTGAAGTTTATTATGTTACATTTTAAGGTAAAATATAAAAAAATATTCCGCAAGCCTATAAAGTCCCCGCTGGGCACAGGCCTATTTTTATTTCCGAGAGGGTTACGTAGCGATAAGTCTACTGCGCTACTTCAGTACGTGTTGCTAGACTTTATATATATAATTTCCGAGAGGATTACGGAGCGATAAGTCTACTGCGCTACTTCAGTACGTGTTGGTAGACTTTATATAATATATAATTTCCGAGAGGATTACGGAGGGATAAGTCTTCGCGCTATTTCAGTACGTTTTGGTAGACTTTATATATATAATTTCCGAGAAGATTACGGAGCGATAAGTCTACCGCGCTGCTGTACGCGTTGGTAGACTTATATATATATATATATATATATATATATATATATATATATATATATATATATATATATTATTGTTCACCGCCGATTGATTTTTTCATTGGTGTCAGTCACAGAAATCTAAATTATTATTTAGATTTCTGTGGTGTCAGCGGGAACCGAAGCCAAGTTGAACGCGTATTGTAAGTTTAACTACTTTTAAATATATAGATATTTTGTGGTAACAATTTAGACAGATATAACGCATCTCGCTTCGCATGTAATTTGCCGTGTATACAAGTGGCGGTGTAAGAATATATCTACCTCACCATATCGTCCCATAAAAAGCTACAGAGGGAATTTGCAACAGGAAATGGGTAACAGCATCTTCTTTGCAACATTGCAATAAAAAAACTGTGGTTGCCACTTGCTAAGCGTAGCAACTAAGACAAAATCACCTCTGTTCAGAAATCAACTTTTACAGGCTGTAATGATAATGGTAATATTTTTATTGTATACTTGTTTTCTTCTACCGTTTTTAGTTCTAATGATATTCCACGTTGTTTTATTTAATTAACAAATTTTTCATCTGGTCTATAAATATCAATCTTTTATATTGATACAAGCTCAAAACATGATACCTATGTCTGTTCAAAATAACTAATCCTGCTGTCGAGCAGGAGTATTCCTATTGTGCTCCCGTATTCCGATCTGAAGATGAAGGGTATGGATAGCCATTAGAATGACAGGCTTTAGAGTTTAGAGATTACAACGTATTGTAGTTTACTTTTTTGAAATTAGTGAATAACATGCGCTTCATAGTCATAGCCAGACGCCATACACTTATATCAGGTGAATTGTTAGCTCATTTGTAACATATCGTATGTATGTAAAACATAATCCACACTATTTTCTATTTCATGGCGATCCATAGCGATCTAAGTTAATTAATTTCCACATCTTTAAATTTATGAATTATCTTATAATTCTTATTATAAATTAGGTTTATTCAGTGTTTGTAATTCAATATAAGAAATACTTAAATATGATCGTTACATAAATGAATGTTTACCATTTTTTGTGATTGTTTACTAAGGCGACGACTTAATAATACATCTCCCAACTTCATTGATATTATTTTATACTCTTTAGACATTTTTTGTGACATGTCTAGACATGTTGTGTATCTAATGATCTCATTTATATGTATGAAAAACAACCAACTAGTTTTAAATAAAGTAGGTAACAAAACTGACGCCATTAAAATGATTCTATTTAATAAAAAATGAGTGATACGTGATAACACATAAAAATGATATAAAATTCTTATTTAAATATTCTTTGATTTTTTTAGTCTTCCTTTCTTTATAAGATCAACTATAAAAAAAGCCTTTTGGATAATAATAATAAATATATTTGTCGCTCTGAAGTCTGCAATGTGTTACAATTTTAAAAATACATTCAACAGTGCACGTACAACAAGCCACGACCTCACAGAATACCAGCGTGAAGTAGAAGCTTTTCGCTTAGTTTGCTGCGTTTCGCTTAGAAAGTGCATGTGGCCTAAGGCCCTACCCCCCTTCCATAACAAGGTAGAATTTAAAAATAAACGGTTAAACTAGGACGGTACCGTTATTACGGTATTCTCCATTACCAGCAGCCCTGGTAATGGAGAATCACTCACAGGTTTCACGCCCAGGCTGGCCAAGTTCCGAGCGTGTATGCTTACCCCACGTATTTTGGGAGGGGGGGGAGGGGTGACCGAGACGCGAGTGTCCTCTCCGGCTGATACTTCATACCTTTTATTGGATCACTTCTTTATGCCCAGGGTTGGACGGGCCATCCCCGCGTCTACGGTTGCCGCCATAGGTTTCATAGCGGTAATGCCGACACCACAGAAATCTAAATATTATTTAGATTTCTGTGACTGACACAGACCAACTCATCCACCAGGTCCAAATAGCTACATTCCTTGCTACAACAGCTTCCATCCGTTAATGGTTTAAAACAGTTATACTTAACCTTTTTTTTATAGGGGCCACAACCCACAAACACGTTTCAGTCATGGTGTCGAGGGCCGCAAGTAAAAATTATTCAGGTCTTAATTAAAACGTAAGTTCAAGTTAACGATTTATTTACTTTATTAATGAAAAAAGAAGTTTTAACAAAGATGCTTATATACGATTTTTTATACAGTGAACACTTTTTTTAAACTTTTTCAAGATCTGGCTTGTCGCTACATGCTATCCTTATTACATCAACCAGATGAGAATCCGTAAGTTTGTTTCTGTACACGTTCTTTGAGTATTTCATTTTTGAATAAGACGATTCGCATACATATTTTCGGGGGACGCTTTTATATTTTTCGGGCCCAATACTCCAAAATTCCACATATTCCCTGTTTGCCCTTTTTCTTTAAACAGAACTTCTAGATATGTGTCGTTTTTAAAATCGATTAATTCATCAAACAACTCTGAGTAATTATAATTTAAAACCGATGCCAACTCTGAGATAGTCGTTGTTTCTAAATGCCATGGATTTCCTATAAATACCAAACTTCTTTATTTTTCTTAGATCTTGGAACCTTTTTCGAAATTTAAAAGTACAGTTATATAATTTGAAATTATGGAGCAGTTTTCTTTCAAAATGTTGGTACCGTCCTCTGTAGCTTTTATCATAGCTTAGTGAGCTTAGGGTTCGTGACAGTAAAAACTGCCGATTGAATTACCAGAATTAACATTTTAATTTCTGAACACCAATCACAACTTGAAAGCATACTAATAATTAATCACACTTAACACTTTAATTCACTTTATTTCGCTCCGAAGTCTTCGCTTGTGTCGCCAATTCAATACTGCCACGGTCGCGGTCCTTAACGCCTTTATATAGCACCTTTTCCACTTAAACATCTCGAATGTTCGAGCACGTACCGGTCCCAACCGACTAAGTGTAGAAAGTTCTCTCCTAGTTCTACCACTCGATACTAGATGGCGCTGGAGGTGGAAAGTTCTAGCATGGCATTTTCTAGAAAGCTCTCCTCGCTCTGCTACCCGACATTTGATGGCGCTAGGGGCATTAATTATGGCTTGCAACACTGCCCCCTCCTAAGACATGCTCGTCCCTAACCTTATCTGCCCCATAATAACGCACCAGTCGATACACATGGACGATCTTAAGAGTACATCTTGCAACTTTCTGTACCCGGTAAGTTACGTCATTTATCCTTGTCACAATCCGGTACGGTCCTTCCCATTTAGCTTGAAGCTTAGAATGTTACAGAATGCTTAGTAACCGATAAAGAGTGATATACTTACGAATGAAAAGACAACCCCGGCATTTTCCTTCCACTATCACTTTTACACCCTAATGCCACTATTAGACTACCCTGAATCAGGGCCCTGAATGAATGGTGGGCGTGGCCGCTAATTATTACACTACCCTGA